AATTCACAATTGACAAGGAAATCAACGAATACGAGTATGAATACTTTATTGCTTTGGAGCTGGTCAGGCTATACGCAAGATATCCAGTCATAAAATAGGATTTGTCATCTCATGGAAATGCATACAAACCAGCATAAAAGGCCTAAGGTGATAAAATAATAGTAATAAAATGTAATAGCTAATGGAAAGCTGAGATTCAAAATTTACCCAGTCTGACCCTCGTTCTCACCAGCCGACATTTTCAGCCACTAATGGTGCTGTTTTGGAGTTGGCCGGCAGGTGGCGCAAAACGAGGACAGCCCTGTTATGCTTTGTCAGTAACAGCTATCCTGCAAAGTTGTGATTGTATATATTTGATGGGAAAAGCAACTCCCTGTTGTGAAAGAAAACAGCTGTCATAAAGCAACACACACCCTTGTCTATTTATTTATTTATTGTTCATACCACTGCTTATGTACGAATTAGCCAGAGGACGAGAAGATTGGAATGGATTTAGCTTTTAATGGGGATTTCCCCATCCCCCAGTAGGAAATGAGATTTAGTGAGACTTTTTTTCTGAGGGAGAGGGAAAAACTGAATTGTTGTGTTGTGTGACAGTTATTCCTGTGCATAACGTAGTGCTACAACACATGCGTGCATCTCTCTCTCTCTCTCTCTGCATCCTTTGCTCGTTAGCATATCGTGCGAAATATAGAAATTTATCTCATTGGGGACAAGAAAAGGACACCCTGAGAATTTGGCAGTGCTGATCTGGCAGACCGTTTCGTTCCAGATTCCCAACACACACCCATTGCAAACTCCAGCCGTGTTTTATTTCCACTAAAGGCATAAAAAGAACAAGCTCAGAAGAGCAGGGGTGAAAAAAATCCTCGTATAAGTGTATGAATACGTTATAGCTGTATCCGGGAAATGTGAGAGTGGCAACCGCTTTGAAATTTAGTTGTATGACCTGCCTTACTTTCAAGTAGGGGTTTCTCTGGTCTCGTTTTTAAAAACAACATTTTTTTTTTTACAAGACGGGTGCAGCGAATATGACATTTTCTAGGCTAGGAGGGTTTCGGTGGCTTTCCAGACAGCTTGGAGACGTTCCGTGTTTTGGATGACAGTTCCCCAAATCCACAGCCGTGTGTGTTGCTGGCTGGGGAATTCTGGGAACTGTAGACCAACGAAGGCACTTTTCCAAGTTCTGGCTGTGGAAATGAAGTCAAAGCAGCTGCTAGGCCAGGTTTCTCTGCCGGGCAAGGTCTGAGACAGAAACCTGTCTGGTACTGGGGAGTGAAATGTAAGTGTTTGGTAGTGTGGGCTGGAACTCCCATAATTCCCTAATTTTTTGAGAATGCTGGATGCTGGAGTCTGGGAAAAAAAAGATAATGACATATTTCTAATGATGACTACTTGGGAAAAAAAACTTCTTTGTCTCAGCAGTTTTCCGAGTCTCATCATCATGCTGAAATTCCCAATCCAGGACACCCCCCTGTACCAGAGTTACTGCTCTCTCAGGAAAACAAGACCCCAGTGTCATCTCCCCGAAATGTCTATGGGTCTCTTCTAAGGGCCCCTGGACTTATCCTTCGATGTTCTAACTCTGGTGGAAAGCAAACCTCCTAATTAGCGCAATGCAAAAGACAAAAATATTCAAAAACAGGTCATGCCTTGGTCTCTGACAGAATAAAACCTCCCTCTGTCCTTTGCGCATGGCTCGCTGCAAGATGTTTTTGCAAATGTGGGGCTTCCTTGTTGCCCCTTGGGGTTGTCATCCGTTTGACTGATCTCCCATCTTCTCTCCAACATGCTTAGGGGCTCTGACGATAAGCCTTAAATATATCTTGTTAAGAAACCCCTCATGATAAATATCTAAACTCAGACATGCCAGATATCTAAAAAATGACGGTGGGCACATTTTTGCTAAAAATCAAGACAAACAATGGCGCTTGTCTTGCTGAGTGCTGAGACCCAGAATCCTTTGCAAAGACGCGCCCTGTTTTCTCCTTTCCGCACGGATGTGCCGGCCATGCAAATGTCCCACCTCCTCCTCAGTGACCCAAAATGTTCGTCACATCCCTGCCTTGTAGACCTTGCGCCCTCCCACCTTCCCGCTTAGAGAGCAACCCCTCTCTCCTCCCTCACGGTTTCATGTTTTAGGGAAACCGTAGACCGCCGGGCGTGGGGCTGGCAGAAAACTGCAAGCTGCCGAGAATAGTAACAGACAAACAATGAGTATGATACTGCTTCCTGGAACAGCTATGGGCCTCCGTGGGTCACAGCGTTCATTCTCCATTGTGTGCTGTGCAGGTGGACCCCGTGATTCTCAACTTCGGGTCCCCAGATGTTCTTGGCATAAAACCCCTAGACGTAGTGGGAGTTTTAGTCCAAGAACATCTGGGGGACGCAATGCCTGAAATGACAGGCAGCTTGTAGATGGTTGAGGAATCGCTTGTTTCCATACATGAATCACACGGCTCAAACCATATTAAACAAACTTCTTCCTTTTTACTGGAATCTCCTCTTGTTAGTAATGAAAGTCTGTAAGCTGTATTTACTGAGGTGAAATCATTTGTTGTTGTTTAGTTGTTTAGTCGTGTCCGACTCTTCGTGACCCCATGGACCAGAGCACGCCAGGCCCTCCTGTCTTCCACTGCCTCCTGGAGTTGTGTCAAATTCATGTTGGTAGCTTCAATGACACTGTCCAACCATCTCGTCCTCTGTCGTCCCCTTCTCCTCTTGCCTTCGCACTTTCCCAACATCAGGGTCTTTTCCAGGGAGTCTTCTCTTCTCACGAGACGGCCAAAGTACATATTGGAGCCTCAGCTTCAGGATCTGTCCTTCCAGTGAGCACTCAGGGTTGATTTCCTTTAGAATGGATAGGTTTGATCTCCTTGCAGTCCAGGGGACTCTCAAAGACCCTCCTCCAGCACCACAATTCAAAAGCATCAATTCTTCAGCAGTCAGCTTTCTTTATGGTCTAGAGCACTCCCTGACTCCTGAATCCATTGGTTCCGTTGTTGTACCACTTTAACAACTAAGAAGTTTTTCCTGATATTCAGCATAAATCTAGCTTTCTGTAGCTTGGCCCAAGGCACTAAAGCAACCATGTAGTCTGAAGATTATGGGGTGAATGTTCTGGTAGAACATTTGTGTAGCTGGGAATTTTGCTTTTAAAGAACCTGACAAAGTAAACAAGAGAGAGTAAACCTTCTTGCTGTCCACTTATTTTATTTCTTTATTCGTTAGGAGAATTTGTACAGCAGAGGCATTGCTGCTTTGCGTGTAGGCCAAGTTGGGTAACTTATGATCCTCTACACATTTTTTTTTGACTGCAGGCCCCATAATTCATTACCTCTGGCCAGGCTGCTTGAGGATGATAAGAGTTGTATTCCATCCACATCTGGAGAAGCACAGGTTGCTTACCCCTAATGGAAATGCACCCTCTTCTTTCATGCATGGTCAGAGTGGTTGTGTAGATTTTCAGTACGGTATAAAAACCTGCCCAGACTGTTTTCAAGTTCTGTGGCACTGAGGCAAAAATAAAGTACGTTCTCAAGAGAAAACAGCCTCTAGCTTCCTGTTCTCTGAGGGGAATTTCAGACTCAAGAAAGGAATTTCCACAGAAACGGAGCAGCCATTTTGTTGGTTAAGTTTAGGTCATCTGAAACCTACACAAGGAAAGGATGATATAATGGAGCAAATGTCTGGGTCTGAATACATGGTGGGCCTATTGATTGCGTGCTAAAGCCTTCCTGGTTTGCGTTTATTTCTGCCCGGGGAAAAGCAGTTGGTGGGGTTCATGCATTCGAGGTGGGTTAAAAAATAATAATAATAAGGTGGGTGACTAAGTGCTTGGAACAGAATTGGTTGAGAGGGGTGGCAACAAAATTTCTTCAGTTGCATACTTCATCTATGTGGTAG